TTATCAGTATTACAGCGTTACATGTTGGTCGTGGGAGGGTCGGGTGGTCTTGCTGGGTGACTGGGTTGATATCGTGTACTCGTACCCTGACGACGTGCTCACAATATCGATCACTGGATTGTCTTGTCCAGACTTTATTATTTACAGGCCGCCGTCATATAGCTGGAATATTGCTGAGTGCGTCGTTAATCAACAAACCAACAACAACCATATATGTATCCCGGCGTAGGACATAGGTTCACACAATGTGTATATGCGGTGAATCGAACCGGGTCCACTGCGAGACGAACGCTGTATCGCGTCACACATCCACCTTCGTGGGATGACGAAAATGACGAGACGAGTTATATATTTCCATTTGAGTTTGTGTGGTGGAATAAAATATACTGAAAAACATTCCCACCCAACTAAATATTACAAACAAATTTCCCCCATTTCGTCACTCGCCAAAGGCAAACTACTTAAGCGACGACGGAAGCACTGCCGGGTAACCCATGACAACGAGTCTCAGGGTGAGTTGGCTGTCAATATCATACAAATAGTTAATCGTGACGAGGTCAACAAGGACCCTCGGGCCCGACTCTTGAGGTGGTCAGACCTCCGAAGGGGTCGGGTCCGAGGGTCCTTGTTTTCGCATATTGACTTCGTTGTTATACCGAAATTAACTTTAGGGCCTAAAGTTTAAATCTTAGAATCCATCCTCTGTTTCATTACAGTTACTTAGGGCACACTTTTTTAATTTTATGTTTGGCGGTTTTATTCCAGCACACACAAGTTCGGTTAAAATAAAATTACAAAAATAGACAGATAGCTTAGGCAATCACTTATTTATTGATTTATTTATATGAAAGTCATTCTGCCGTGGATTTCAAACTGCAGCTAGCTCTTTGAATCACTGTTTGTTTATTTGTTGTTTAACGCCGCACTCAGAAATATTCCACGCAATTTGGATACGATGACATGCATCAACCAAGTTAGCGAGCCTGACCACCCGATCCCGTTAGTCGCCTCTTACGACAAGCATAGGGCCCGTGAAGCGAAAAAATGTTAGCTCAGCTGCAAAGCGTACGAGACGCCATCTTGTTTTGTAGTAAACGAGTGAACATTCATCACGCGACAGGTCAATACTGATCATGTGACGAGTCAATATTCTCGGTCAGTGCCAGTCACATGATTTAGGGGTCGACATTGAAATGTATTGTTTCGTCACGTGGTACGGAGGTATAACAATTGCATATTACTACAGTTGTTTTATCAGCGATGGGTGTCCGCATTCATAACGGTTATTCTTCACGTTTGAATATTGCCCTCGCCTTTCCTTGGAAGTAAATCCGTATTAATGCTGCGGGTATTCGCCGAATGATAGTTCACAAATCGCTTACACTATAAACATCACCATATCGTAGCCTCTTGTCCGCTCTCACGCCGCCCAGAGAGCGGAAGGTCCGGGGTTCGATCCCCGACCGCGTCATACCAAAAGACGTTAAAAGATGGTACTTGTTGTTACCCTGTCTGGCGCTCGGCATTAAGGGGCTAAAACAAGGACTGGTCGGCTCGGAGTCAGTATACGGTGTCTGAGTGGGGTATTCATGTTAAACTGCGGCATGATGTCTCAGTAAGCTAGCACTATAAATCGGCATCAGTCCGGACTAGTACAAGCAGCCACACAAACACACACACGTACATGCACGTCGCTATATAAGTGCAATAATCTTGGACGCGACGTTAAACCCCATTTCACCTCACCTCGACGCTCTCACGCTGAACATGCGTTATGCGTTACCATGACGACAAGGGTGAATGAGGTAAGTAGCTTCATGGACTAATTCCCTTACACGCACAATAACCGGTTTATTTATTGTTCAAACAAAGTCTGCTTGATATATAAGCACTGATGCTGACTGAACGGCTTACGGGTCAACACAACCCCGACACTGCGTGTCAGTCAGCCATGGCTTTTCCCAAACAAGGAAATTAGTTGATATACATGACTGTGATAAGACAAGGCAATTCTCGTGTTATCAGTATGAAATGACATAGAGTTCATCTGTTAGGGCATGCCAGTTTGTCAACTGTAGTAGGGGGCACGGGTGGCCCTGTCGTCTAAGGCAGGCGCCGCGATTCGCTGTGCAGAGTTGCGTCCCTTGGGCAGACCAGAAACTATGACTGTGGGTTCGAATCCCGGTTCGCCCCGATTATGTTTCTAGGTTTGTCAGCACCATACCTGTGCTCGTGGGTTTCACCGAAGTGGTACACCTCTGAGAGCTGCATCACTTCGGGCTTTCCTCCCACATTAAGCTGACACGCCGCGATGTTACTGGAATACTGTTAAAAGCGGCGTTAAACCCAACTCACTCACTCAATCACTCACTCACTCACTCACTCAACTGTAATATGACATGCTTTAAGGAAATTGGAATGATATTTCTTTCAATACCGATTGAATAAGATTCCATGCCTCTATATTAAGATGTTTCCGGGCACATCACACATTAGATTCGAACCCGGGTTTTCTGAAGTACGAGCGAACACTTTAACCACTAGGCTACCCCGCCATCCCTTACATGATGCAGACATGTTCTGCAGACATGACGCCGGATACACCACGACAGCATTTGTAGAACCATCGGTTAAAAACAAATTCAGAACTATTTGAAACCTTGACCAGTTAATCTTAACTCTACAATACCTAGTAGTTCGAATCTATCTATCCAATGTCTGGATTGTCGAATCATTGGAAGGCGACTCCGGGTGAGAAAGGTACTATAGTAGAGGGGATTAACGGGATTGCTTGGACTTGGTTAATTGCGTGTCATCCTACCCCGATGGCGGGGGTTTGTTTGTTTCTTTGTTGTTTAAGGCCGAACTCAGCAATATTCCAGCTATATGACGGCGGTCTGTAAAAAACTGAGTCTGGACCAGACGATTCAGTGATTGACATCAGGAGCATATATCCATGCAATCGGGATACGATGACATGCACCAACCAAGTCAGCGAGCCTGACCACCCGATCACGTTAGGCGACTATATCACGGGATCACGTGGTCAGGCTCACTGACTTGGTTGATGCATGTCATCGTATATCCCAATTGCGTGGATATGATGTTTATATATCAATCACTGGATGTCTTATAAAGACAAACCTACCCACATCCATCCATCCATCCATAATACACACACACACACACACAGGACACACACACACGCACACACCGGACACACACACACACACACACCGGACACACACACACACACACACACACACACACACACACACACACACACACACACACCGGACGGAGAGAGAGAGAGAGAGACACACACACACACACACACACACACACACACACACACACACACACACACACACACACACACATACATACACACACACACACATAAATACATAGTGTATTACCTGTGTCAGCAATGCTCCACTGTACACATCGTCACAGCTGACACGTTCTATGATTAACCATCAATTCTTTAAATCACATTCACATTGCATTCTACATTCTCCTTCTCCACGTTTATGATCATAGATAACTTATAACATTAAACACAAACATAGTGTGACACAGCTGTCTTGTCAAAACTCGCGAGGATAGAGCGAGAGCGACAAGTATTGAGCCCTAGAATGAAGATCGTTACTTACCAACGTATTTCCCCTCGCCAGTGAAGAATGACACGTCTACTTTGTTCTTATGCTGGTCAAGTACATTCGTCCCAAAAAGCTCAGCGAGGTCGTATTTTCCGCTCATGTTTATAACCTTCCCGCCGCAGTTTTACAATGTTTGTGTCTGTTGACTGGAAGTCAAATACGTACAGAGGACACGGGTGACGATCTACGGCCTGAGTAACATGCGGCTGTTTATATAAGGGAGGTAACCGTAAACATGCTGAATCAGGTCTATCGATTTCATGCATGACACAACATGACTGCGTTGCAGATCCGCCCTATTTTCCGTGTATTTTTACAGTTATTATAGCGGAGAGTATGTTCTAAATCGAAAGGAAATTGTAATAATTTTCAAAGGTATTATCACAGTGACTATATTTTGTTATTGTTAGCATCATAAAAATGGAACTCTGATAAAACGTCAATGCGTGGTCGCTGCCTTCGAAAGACATAGTGCAATATATAGATTCTTCATTGTTTAGATTATGTTTTAAAATTATTGTAAATAAGTATTAATATAGAAAGGTACTGAATAGATGTGAAACACAACGTACAACGGCAAAACCTCTCAGTTATGAAATCCGTATCTGGCATGTAACGATTTGTGTCTGACAAACAGCTGTGAGCATTAAACTCTGATCATGTGATAAGCTGCATCCAGTCCACATCAGTAGAACACACCATGCATCAACAATACCGCAACTCCCGCAATAACATGGACAACCTGTAAATGAATTTCTCACAGGTGTTTTAAAATTGTACTTATTTACCAACCGAGAGACGGCAAGATGCACTGAGGCGTCAAGTCTTATTTAAAACCAATAACACATATGAATTCATGGAATAAATTCCACTCAACCAGTAAAGTAATATTATATAAAATGGGAATTTGTCGAATTCCGTATCACTGTGCACACGTCAATGTGATTAGCGCATGTCGCCGGTATATGCTGGTATATGCAGGTGTATTCTGGTATATGCGGGTGTATGCCGGTATATGCGGGTGTACACCGGTATATGCGGGTGTGAGCCGGTATATGCAGGTTTATGCCGTATATCCGGGTGTATGCCGGTATATGCAGGTGTATGCTGGCATATGCGGGTGTATGCTGGTATATGCAGGTGTATGCTGGTATATGCAGGTGTATGCCGGTAAATGCAGGTGTATGCTGGCATATGCCGGTATATGCTGGCATATGCAGGTGTATGCTGGTATATGCTGGTGTATGCCGGTAAATGCAGGTGTATGCTGGCATATGCAGGTGTATGCTGGTATATGCAGGTATATGCAGGTGTATGCCGGTATATGCGGGTGTATGCCGGTATATGCGGGTGTATGCCGGTATATGCAGGTACAGGTATATCGGGTCCAGGATGGGTTTTACTTGTTTAATGCTACTTTGAGTCAGCACGTGCCTATGTGGACGTTTATATCGACACCAGTATAGTGAAACAACTGTGACCTTGATGAATCGGCAGATATTAAGAAGCACGTGATGAACCTACAGAAGTGTACAGCCGTGAACATACATAAGACATGAGCGTCCAATGATAGCAGCGGAGCGTTCGACCCTGACAGTATTGATTCTATTGAATTACATTTCTGTGACGTATTCAGTGAGAAGTATAGTTAAACGGGTTCTGCGGGTGTGCCTAGGGAAGTCAGCGAACCTTGGAGAAAGTGTGAATACCGCACATAGATTTGAGAGTGCTATCATTTCAGGTAAACACAAATTTGTGACGTCAAATTGACGTCAAATTCACAGGATCATAATTAAACCGTGAACTGTCATGTTGCGATGTTTTACAGTTTCATATATCCAAAGACATGTCATTCTTATATCGATACACTTTACCACGACGACACGCGAGGCTACCTGTACTGTTACTATGGTAACAAACACGACCATCGGCTTCAGGGGCGGTGGGGTAGCCCAGTGGTTAAAGCGTTACGCCAAAGATCCGGGTTCGATTCCCGACATGGGTGCATTGTGTGTAGCCCATTTCTTATGTCCCCAGCCGTGATATTGCTGGAATATTGCTAATCGCGGTGTAAAACCCAACTCACTCACTCACCCCAGGGCTTCAGATTGAAAGCATTTCCTGATAAAGACGTGCGCGATCATCGATTGATTGTCATCTAATATATGCCGCAGTGGAAAAGGTCGTGGATATGTTGTGGTATGCATACGTCGGCCTAGTCCCTGGAGGCGTCGCTATTGATCTCAGTTGAATCTCAGGCTGATTAACCACGAATCCCCGGTAGCAGTGTTAATCGACGTGTTGTGATTACCTATTATGGCTCCACATGTTTGCAGCTATACCGCTGGGGTACAACGTTCACTGGTGCGAAAAGGGAAGAGTTGGGTTATACCAAGATGATATTTATTTACCACAAAAAGCACTTTATACACAGTTATGGGTCTAGAGGAGGGTGGGGTGGTGATGTTCATAGGATAGGAACCCAAATGACCAGACCAAAATAATATATTTTGTATTACTGAAATACCGACGAAGTTTCCCCCACCATTTATCATCTGAATTGTCCCACGCCCACGCCCACGCCCACGCCCACGCCCACGCCCACGCCCACGCCAACCTACCCACACCCGCATCTGCACCCGCAAATTCAGAATTTGAACCGACCTACCTTTAAATGAAAAATTACATCTATCATATGACGGATAGTATTATCGATGCGATGTTTACAGATGCAGAAGCCGTTATTTTTCTCTGGACAGTTTAAGAGACAGAGAGAACAAACACTCGCCCTCCAGGCGCATCACCAACAACACGCCACGTCGCATAATACGTGCCCGCCATCGGACTACGTCCATAGCAACTCCTATACCTTTACGTGGACGTTCGACAGCCATTAGAGTTGACATCGCATTGTGGAACGGGGACTAGGGCGGCGTTGTACAAACAATCTTAGCTTAGACAGTCGCATTTATTTACTTTATGTATTTATTTATTGTACCTGTTCCTTCTCAATGGTGTATATTACGCTAAGTTATGTATATATACTCATATATTATATACCTTATGTGAATGTAAGTTTAATGTTTTTAATAAGAACTATTCTTCATTTTTCACTCTCTCTTAACCCGTTTGGGTGGCGTTTGTTGTTGGTTGGTTGGTTTGTTGTTTAACGCCGCTCTCAGCAATATTCCAGCTATATGACGGCGGTCTGTAAATAATCAAATCTGGACCAGACAATCCAGTGATTGATATCATGAGCATCGATCCACGCAATTGGGATCGATGATATAGGGTAGCGTTTGTAAATGTGTTTCAATGTACCATGCTCCGCTGAGTTTTATCTTCTTTATGTACAAATGGTGAGGCACAAACAAACAACTTTGTATTGAATTGAATTGAATTGAAGTCTATAATAAGGTATGGGCGTTAGCGCTAAGATCGCTTTGTACAACGGCACCCTGGGCACTAAACAGCCACAGTGTTGAAATCTGGATATATTGATTCCTATACTCCTATACTCATTCCTCAGACCAGTGGGCCGTTCTCTGCCATTAGTGACGGTTCTTGTCTCGCATAAATAACGAACAATGCTAGATCCCAGCAGAAGTTTGTTTACAAAACAAGTCCATGCCACGCAGTCATGCCTGTGTGATCCTTAAGATGTGTGACGTATGTAGCCGTCAATAGTTGCAGATAAACATAACAACAGAATCAATAAATGGATTCTTTCGGAACTTATTTAAGTTAAAAACTGGAACCGTTGCAAGGATGGATATATCTCGGTCAATCAACGATCTTTCAATATTCATATTGTAATTACGAGACGTGTACAGTGAGCTGTTAAATCATTGTCTAATTAAGAAACGAAGAAAATGGTTGCTGAGGTTGTATTGATTACGATCTTCTTGAGCTTAAATATGCATAGAATATGAAAGACATTCTCAAATGTGTCTATTCGTGCGGATATCTGAAACCATACAGTTTCAAAGAGTATGCATTGCGTATAACGTACCTAAATATACAGCACAAAGATAGAATACGTACGGGGCGGTCGGGTAGCCTAGTGGTTAAAGCGTTGGCTCGTCACGCCGAAGACCCGGGTTCGATTCCCGACATGGGTACAATGTGTGAAGCCCATTTCTGGTGTCCCCCGCCGTGATATTGCTGGAATATTGCTAAAAGCGGCGTAAAACTATACTCACTCACTAGAATACGTACAAGTAACGTGGTCCCGCTTACGATCAGCCATTACGTTTCAGGTTGCTTTCTTGCCAAATGTTTCAATCAGATTTGACTTTTATATGTTATTACAAAATTGTTCCTATTGTGCAATTCTTAGTGTTGAAATGTCCAGACTGTGTGACCGCCTCCGTTGTCTAGTGGTAGAGCGTCCGCCCGGAGAAGGTCCGGGGTTCGATCCCAGGCCGCGTCATACCAAAAGACGTTAAAAGATGGTACTTGTTGTTACCCTGTCTGGCGCTCGGCATTAAGGGGCTAAAACAAGGACTGGTCGACTCGGAGTCATAATACTGTGTCTGAGTGGGGTATTCATGTTAAACTGCGGCATGGTATCTCAGTGAGCTAGCACTATAAATCGGCATCAGCCCGGACTAGTACAAGCAGCCACACACACACGTGCATGCACGTCGCTATATAAGTGAAATAATCGTGGATGCGACGTGTTAAACCTAATTCCACATCACCTCCTGACTTTGTGATATTTTCTTACAGTAAAATCATCAAAGGTTGCGGCTAATGACTTTAATATTAATAGAAGAAATCAGTACACACCTGTTCACATGGACAATGTCATGATAAAAAGCCCAGAAGCCATTATGATAAATCGCAATCATGCAGGTTTATTTTGTAGGTTTACCATTTTATCTAAACAAGGACAAGAAGTCACAGTATCTAAGCCAGTTCGAACATACCGCAATACTGATATCAGTTGTGAAACACGGCTATAGTTCTTGAAGGAGGGTACCAACTTTCATGATCATCACAAACGTCCTGAGTGAGTGAGTGAGTGAGTCGGCTTCACTCATTGTATCAATAGGGGCCTTCGGCGTGACGACGGTTATAGTGCCCGGATGTTGTGCCTGGTTCTGTTACTGAGCTGCTGCACGATCAGCTGTTACGTCGTGATCACCATCAGCACGGACTTCTATATATAGGTCCGTGCCACCAGCGTGTCCGCATTGATGACTTGACGGAATGACAGCTGACAGTTACATTACATGTTCGATCATCAACGATTAGAATGAGATTGTATGCCAAATTTGATTCGCTGTAGTTGACATTGACCATGCCTGTCAATACACTCAAATACGTTGGGTTTGTTATGTGTTAACTTAAACTTTAGGGGAATTCATTATTGAATCTAGAACTGGCATTTGTTTTTTAGCTGATATATGACCTCAAGCGATTGGGAAGTGTATTCAAAAGATGTAAATTTGGACCATTTAACAAAAACAGAAATGAAACGGTTTTGACAGAAACGGTGACGGAATGTACACAATGGAAGGATAAAGACATTTGGTACTTTCGAACTTTTATTTAAGTACTAATGTGTATGTGTATCAACTATTAGAATATGTTAAAATGATTATCTTTAAGAATGCCATAGAAGCAAACACTTGAGCATCTCACTGTCGTTACAACATATACGTGTTACAAGCTGCAAAGTTGGAGAACGAGATCACAGATTAAAGGCCACACTGAATTCCAATATATCCTAATCAAGGCTTTATAAACATTTCCTGTCGCTCTTATTATTGGTGTAAATGGATATTAACCTATAAGAAAGTCCCAGCGTCCAAACCGTAACAATATACATGTATGTCCATACAATACAATACCAGGGTAATTCAATGGCAAAAAATATAATTAATTTAGAACAATGACTGGATCACGTATATTTTAGACACTTTTCCACTTTCAGCAAATAAGCAGATATACATGTAAATATTAATTTGCATGGATTTTAGCAAAATACGCGTAACGACTACAAAACAAAGTTATATAATATTATTTACTTATTGTGTCAGGAATTGTAAACAAATGCAAATTTGTGTATATCATGGATCACGTGGCGTATGTCTTCTCAGAAGGGTTGAACTCTTAAACAGGTAGACTACGGAAACAGAGAGGTAGTAAACATTATATTAAGGAGATCATTTTTTATTTAAATTAAATGTTTGTAATATTAAAGTGTTAGGTTCAAAATTCGGATAAAAAAATATCATGTTATGTCCTGTTTAAAAACTCTTTCACATTGAATATGACTCATTGGAAACGGAACCGAATTTCTAAAATCTAAGTCATTTAGTTAAGTAATG